ATCACCCTAGATGGGCCTGCGCCAGCTGACGATGGGGACGTCAGCCGTGGTGTTGCCGATTAAATCGGCCATCCAGTTTGTTGGTGAACAAAAAATTATCGGTTCCGCGTGCCCAAAGTTCTGGAATCTTGTAAAACCTTGCTAAATGTTTCTTGCGTATGCATGGAGCATATAAACTTTGTCAGTCCTGCGGTATTTCACAGGCGTAGAACAAAATTCTCAAAGCTGAGCTTTCACGATACTAAACCATTGATGATTTCATTCAACCAAAATTGCCCGAGGTACTCAGCACGCTGACTTCAAGATAAATAGATGACTACCATAAAGCTTACTTTACATGTTATCATTATTATTATACATAAATGCATTCGATTTTAATTGTATTGCGCAATACCATGTGCAATTTGCCGCAGCTAAAGTTCTGAGTGCTCACAAATATACACGCCTCAATGTGTTGCTTGCAACATATTCGATGGGTAATAATATCCTAGGAAGTTTGGCTGTAAGAATAGGTACTTCGAGGAGAATTGGCCAAATAATCGTCAGCTTATCTGGGCCAGTGCTACTGTGAGGCAGTTGGTTGATGTAACTGGAAAGCAAAGTAACAGTAATGATGAGGAACGGCCAAAAACAGCCACGAACGACACCACAGACAGCAAATATAACACTTTCGCTTGACTCATTGGGTATAACTATTATTTTAGCATGCCATGTTTTCTGACAAATTTGGTAACGCCCAAATTAACAAGAATTTTGGGAACAGTGGACTAGAGCGTCAACTGCTGTAAAAAATATCTCGTAGCATTCGTCAAAGGACAAGTTTTACCAGGTGCATTGGAATATCGAACAATTTAAATAATTCTGCTCTATCACATTTAAAACGGCTACTAAGAGATTAGATGGGGTCGAGCCCTAGCCTAAATGATTGCGGCTGAGGCACCTGAAATAGGGAACACTGTTGCTCTATGAACAATCGCGTCAGTAACTGTGGTGTCGCAAAAGCTAACTTTTGATCAGTGTTTGGGAGGCAAGATTAGTATCCGCAAAACTCTAACGCCTGTGGACCTCGCGGGACATTAGAACATCCGGCAAGTGCGTAGCTTACAGTGCTATATGGATAAGAAATTTGGCCCCAGCTGGCCAATGATGTTGAACACCTCTAGCATTTGACCATTACTGTCATCAGAACAGTGTTGGCGTATGATAGAAACACCGGCTAAACAGTCTTGAAATTCGCTTAGGGCTATTTGGAGGAATTAAGCCAACAACAATAGACGAAATAATTGCACCGCAAAGGTTGCGTTTCCATGGTGAAGTCATGTCCTTTGCTAGCTGAATGATTTCTTATAAGGGTTCCTTTTTCCGATTCACTCAAACCAGAGGTTGAACTATGTCTTTACGCGACAGGATGAAAGTTACTGGCAGCAAACTCCACTGTCCTGGTGGGAACAGAACAATAGAATATATTGTTGGTTAGAGAAATTGCCAGACATGGCACAGTCATCCCCCAAAATCTCCACGCCTTTACTCCTTGTCTTCAATAGATGGCAAAGGTGCAAATCCATTTTATTATTGGTCATTGGTTCTGATATATTTTTATTAGCTACAATCTCTACCAAACCATTTGTGGATAGAAACTTGGTAGCCCAAACCACCGTGTGACAAGTCTGCGGTTCCTACATCCGATAACATTGATGAAGGTGATGGATAGGGTAGAAATTAGAAGTAGATACATGCATCCAATTCTCGTAACAAACCAACATATGAATAATAATATTTTTTGGAGCAAAGCATGCATAAGTTTTAGCATGGTACTGAGAATGACCACGGTAAGTAGTATCGTATTATTGCTTGCACTTCGGAACAGCCTAGTAGCAGTTTGCCCAATTAACGAATGCGATCACGGATCACAGTAGCAGACTAATAATTAAATCTTGATATACATTCAGCAAAAATTTAGGCACCTTAACCTATGACATTCTTTGAATGGCACAAGATGATGAACCCATGTTCTCATAACTATTATTTTATTTCATTGTAGTAAGCGCGACTTGTGGTAGCATTACAAGCACATTCCCGTACGGTGTTCTGCATTCACTCATTCCCGTAGACTGAATGCAACAAACAGTTTGAATAATTTTTTGGGAAAAATTGTGAAAAAATTTATAAATATAAGTATGAAATAAAGTATCAAGAAAGTAACTTCAAGCAGATGTGCCGTTCTGATGTATTCAAAGTAAACGGCAGAATAAATTTTGCTGGCATATTCAATTGAGAAGGGTGTCAGGCTGGGGGCCAAACCATCCTTAGAAAACGTCAACTCAAAACGGTGGGATCATAAATGCCTCATTAATTGCATTTAGGTTTGCTTTGATTCTGTAAATAACCGTAAGTTCCTACTTAAAATAGCAAATACATGCAATTGCTGACAAACAATAAATGCATACAATGAATTCGATAACTGTAATATTCGTAGACAAGTATCTTCAAAGTTAGCTGAGCCAAAGCCTATTTAGCTGAAAAGCTCATACTGGTCTCAGAGAACGTGATGAAAAATTTTGTATTTTTGGCCACTATACGCCATTTGCATTCTGATGTACATCTAAGGTGAACAAAATTTACGGCCTGGCTGAGTTATCTTGAAATTAACAGGAAGATTTCCTGAATCGTAATCATTTTTCATTTTTGTTACAAATTAAATATCCTATTACCAAACATCATGCTTTAACCTTGCGGTGGTTATAATTTCCTGATTTCGCTAATGCCAGATATATAGGAAACAATGAAAGGAAATATGGTGCTGACGGTGTGGATTTGCCAGCACCAACATTACAGTCGAACATGCGAGGAAAATCTCGTTCAAAATTTCATTTATGTTTGCTAGTTTATAATTACCATCCGGTAGGAAGCATGCGCAGTCATGCGGATGTTGGTAGCACGTGCAATGTTTGCGCTTCGATACCGCAGGTGTTAGATTTGATGTAAGCTGTAGGTTTGTTCATACGAGTCGCTTTGCTCTTGTTTGACAGTATTTGTATGCTGCCTAATCGGCATCTAAGCCTGGAGTTACCTAAACCCCTTTCAAAATTCAGAAAACTCGTTATACACTTTGTCAGAACTACTTCATGAAAAACACGCCCCAGATATCCTTCCATAAGCTGTGTCAAATTGACGCCATTTCGAACACCTTATTCACCTATATTTCTTGTAATTTGCACGAGGATATACAGAACAATGTAGATGTGTTTTATGGACGATTCAGACCTTCACACGACTTGGTTTTATCCGGTGTTTTGGATGGGGTTTCGAGCACCGCTGTAAAACAGGCAGAGTCCCTTCATCACATTCATTGCACTACATTTTAGACATCAAAAGCAATTTTACCCGCGTTTTCTAACAAACAAGTTATACGAACTGTTAGGTTTGAAGGATTTAATACTTTGCGTCAAACAAATAAACTTTTCTGGAACGGGCGCGCCAGACATTTTATAAAAACTACTATTGTTTCGGCTCTTCGGTTAGAAGTTCTAGCTTGCGCAAACGTGACAAACGCATCAAAATAACAACAAGTGCAACAAAAAGTAAGTCTTTGCCAGAATTCTTCCAGAAAGCTTTTATTTTTATCATTTTAAGGTGCTAGTGGCATTTATTGTGTATCTCAAAAATTCTTTGGGTCTAATCCTTGTTGTAGGCCTACTCTGGCAGAATCTTCCGCCACACGATTTGTGCGCACTAAGCGAGCCCCCTAATTTACAGGCAATGAGAACCTTTCTGACCACATGGTGCCTTGCCTCCGCATGTCACGCACTGGGTCGCTGAATGGGACTATTCTGTGTTATAATTAAAATTCCATCTGAATTTCAAATACCTTTTCATATAATGGTCTCGTTGCGCCTGATGTCTCCTGCAAAAACCATTCACAATGCTAATATCAAATGATAGTACTGTGTGTGGAATCTTGCCGGAAAAAAATACATCGAATGTCCATTAAATGTGACACATGCCGAATTGATTTTTTTTGTACAAATCCGACAAATTCAGCCGAATTATGATTTAAAATAACTTCTTCATTTTGTCAACACAAAAACTGACATTTCTGGCCCAAGAACATCCACAACTGGTTCAAACGATTAAGGTAAAAACATCGGTTTTGGGAACTTCTGAAATAATTCCTTATAATTAACATCACTTGGTTGCAAACTTCTTGTTTTCGGTTGGAGATTCAAGGATTATCCGCAACCCGAACATAAGCTCCGGCCGCACAAATGAACAACAAGCTTATGGGAAATGTTTGGTAATTGATTCTTACTTAGTGGAGTATGAAGTTCTCGGCACACTGCTGAAAAGTACGCATACACGAGCATGAAAGAGTATCCTAAGTTTTAGGATAGTTAATTTTTCTCAATTATCTTATTGGTTGAATTCAATGAATTCAATTCAATTCAGTTCAAGCTAGACACAAGTTAGGTCACGAAAGACGGTAATATTTGTGGATGTGGACATACACCAAGGTCATCCATTCTAAATCCCCCTTATTTCAACGCGTTTACTTAAGTCATATCGCTCATTCATCTTTTGCCTAGCAATTTGAGATCTCTGCATGAATTTTCTTATATGAAAATGTTGAAACCATTATCATCAATGCAACGTTTACGTGGTAAATTTTTCCAATCTAATCACAGTGACAGTGCTTCTTTCCTGACCATGTAACTGTATGAATCAAAATGCCGCGCGAAGACTGAGCATCAACACCGAACGTAAGCAAGCAGCGAACCATGTAGCACGATGTTCATTTGAATGGCTGGGCTGGTAACACAACGATGAACGCAAATAATGGCCACAGATCACGACTAACATAAGGGATAAAGGTGTAGGAATCTTGAAGTCAAAACAGCAACCATTTTGCCCGTGATAGTTATCACGTCTAACCTTTACGACACTCATAATCTACTCTATTGTGCAAAACGTGTATTCTTATTTGTCATTTTTTCTCTTTGTAGGGGAATAAAACTATTCAATTATGGTATCTGCCGAGTAAATGCGCATTGAATTCGGAGTTTGTTTCCGTCGCATTGAACGGTTCAAGTTAGCGAATTTGTCCAGGGAGTGACCTTGAGTATTTTACATGCAAATAAACGGAATCTATTTACCATCAGCTAGAACACTCGTGTTCCAAACATCAAAGCTACTTTAAATGTTGGTTTAGGAAACATGTGACATTATACTGAACACCGGTTGACGTGGTCCTAATTTTACAAAGTGGAACAAAACAGGCGTCTGCCAATCACGCCGTCAAGTCTTCTGAGACGCGATCCGAAATTTTATATTTTACCACCAGAATTCTTCAGTGAAATATGTGACCCTGTACTCCGGTAATTTTCTTAAGTAAGATCATGCCCTTAGGCCGATTATCTGGCTTTTATTTGTTTTAAAAATTTGTATAAGTGCTTGATACTTTTCCTGGCAAAACATTATTAACGGTAGAATGCATTCGTATTTTCATCCTTTACCGACAATAAGAAATCAAAGCCTCATTGACAAGGGATTAACTGTGTTCCAGTGAATTACGGCCACGTTTGTATCAAACTGATTTAGGTAACATTTGCTGGCCTTCAAATGCTTTAAAAATGTTCGTTCATTACATACCATATGTCGAGTTTAATTTATTTGCTTTACCTGAAATGGATGAGGCGCGTTCATGATGTTATGTTGCAGGTTACTCAATGTAATACGTGGCATCAGATGGTAAGGGTTCTAAAACCCTCATGGCTGATCCGCTTTCAAGTGGATCCTAAACTTAAGGGAAAATAAAGACGGAAAAGTGTATTATCGGGGACCATATGATATGTCTTCGAATTGCAGCCTACATGCAGATAATCACGCTTCCACTGACTCCTTATTGATACGAATTTACGTGAACTTCTGCAGCAGATTTATTTTAACCGGTGTATCCCGCCTCACGGGTTTTGTTGTTGCTTAGCATGGTGCTTCATCTTCTTATCTGGAGCATCCATTAAGCCTGAATTACGGTTCGACCACCCACCATGTTTCCGAATCAATTCAGAAGATAACACGCTCTTAGGCATCAGTGACAGTTTAGCTAGCGAAGATTTGCAGCTGCAAGCAAAGTAACGAGACTGCAAATGGAATAGACTCAATATATTTCAATGGCTATTTGATGGCGCAACGCGCAATATTTTGCACACTGGTATGTCCGATTAATCGGCTGTCGGCATGCGGTGACTAATCGGTGTTATAGTTAATTGTCTTTAACAATCAGCCGCACAGATCTGATCGAAGCTTAGCACTTGGTTCGAGCGATTTGATCGGTGTGCCATTGTAAGCTGATCTATACTGACAGCGTACAATGACACGCAAAAGTCGGTGGTTGAATTAGGGTTCTTATATGTTGACGCAACAGAATAACATAATACCAGTCCCGATTGTTCAGTAGTGGAATATGTTCCGTATATGATATATAAGCTATTCATTCAGAAAAACGTATCTTGTCCCATATGCGCACTTTTTGTTTTACACACGTTTTTGTCGACAGCAGCGTTCGTTGCACGATCTGGTGGCATGTTGGGCAGAGTGGATCACAATTTGAGTCACGATACGACGAAAAGCAAAAGGCTTATTCCATAGTACTTTGAAATTTGTTTGACCAACTGCAAGACTACCAAAAGAATACTCTTGCAATGAACACTAATACCAGAGACATAATCTGAGACCTTTTTTTTCACCGACGTCTGTTAACTGCGTGACGTAATAATTTGTTTCCCTATTCCCCAGGCTAGTTCCGTGACTGCCTAGGCTTCAAGAGTGAACCGTTCTATTTTGTGCAAAGTTGACCCTACCCGAACCACTTGTTGTTTAAATTTTGTCCCACTTTGAACTGAACAACAATTTTCCCGCTCATTTTGTCCGATAGCACGCTGCCCTTCGTGTGCCATCCTGTGTTGCTAATTGCCCACAAGCCATAAGCCTTTCCTTACTTCTCCTCACAATTTACTGTTAATTTCCTATAGAACCACGGTCAAACTATCTGTACTGTCTGCCCAAGTCCAATTTAATATATTGTTCACTGTCCAATTGCGACTACTGAACAAACGCAGGTGAAGTTAATAGAATTCTGTTTCGCCGCAATTATTACTGTCCGTCGGTTGGTAAATTAGGCTACACGTTACCTGTAAGATGGAAAACCTTGAACGTGAGTTTAGTCTAAGCCACCTATTCCTTGCTTCGAGGTCGCGGATTTAGCACATGATAGCCCAAAGTTGGCTAAAAATACCATCCAAAATTCAATATCTGGCTACATTATGACGCGTTATGTCCGTGTCTCGACTGCGTTCTCCGTCTCGTGCATCCACCAGTAGCTGACTGTCCACGCAATAATTGATGTGGGAACTGGATCTGGCCCGTATAAAGATTAAAAAGTTAGAGATGGAGGCAGATGCTGCTAAAAGAATTAAGGAATATCAAGACAGTGTTCAACAGAAGATGGAAAAATTAGATAAAATTGCTCGATTAATGAATTCCGGGGGTTATTACCTTAAGGATAGGTATTCAGGCTTGGTCTCAGACTCACGCACAAGAAAGCGGAAAAGCCATAAAGCTAATACTCCATTTTCCCAGGGACATGCATTTGCAGGTAGTTTTTTTAAGAACAATCTATAAATGACTGTTGTCCAATGTTGTTCGAATGGAAAATTCCAAAGTCAATACATGAAACACTACATGAGATCGGATGACGTTTTCTGCCTTGAAATACGTCCACTTGTTTGTATATTCTGGGTTATGTAAACAATTAGGCTAATTTTGGCCAGTAAACAAATTAACAGCATCATACGGACCACCCAAGATTTCTAACGAACGAGGTCCGAATACATACCGGCTCATTTGGCGCATCTTTAGCCAAATCTTCCCGTGTGAAAAGTATCCCTTTCCAGAGAGTGACGTTTGACGCGATATATTCTGGTTTGTCCAGGTAGGTTTGTCTTAATAGAAATGGCTAGTTGACCACTACTTTTCGGCTGAATGTAACAGCACTGTTATTGGTGGCCCCTCGAATACCAGTTTCCAGAAAGCAGTGATTGAAGAGAAGTAGGTGCCGTCAGGTGTCTAGGTTCATGCAAGATGACCACTGTGGATGTTTGCTTAAAGGGTGTAGCTTGGAAGTGCCTGCCTATTTGTCGAATTTTGCAGTACTGGAGAAAATAAATTTCAACTTCTACCACTGACTGCTGAATGTATTCTTACACCACAAAGTTACATTCAGCCTTGCCGCACCCAATTTCAAGTGATTTGACCGTTTGGTTTCTGACATAAGAAAAATAGCATGAGTTATGCGACCAACGGGTAGTGGTTTTCTCGAAATCTACCGGGATACTGTTGGAATTTAAACGATGCACGCATTTGATATCAGGCAGCTTGTCAACAACCGTGTGCTTATAGGGGCTGCTTAAACATCTCTTTCACTCGAAGATTTCAGGAAAGTCTACATACTTTCTTTGTAGCTCGCTTCTCCCCAATTTTTCGTAATCAATATGACCTTATGCCAGGCGCAAAAAATAAAAATTGAGGTAGTTTGGCGTGAAACGTTACAGTAATTGTGTTGACATTTCGCCATGTTGCCAATCTTTTTTCCCGTGACACTTTTGAGCTTGTATAACCAGTCAGACTATTGATTGTGGCGTAACAAAAGAACAGACCTTGTAGGTTGCACGGGGACTAGAATGGGCGCATACAAATAACCCGTTTGAGCGATCCTTCACCTTCATAGAAAAAGCATTTGCGTGTGCTTGTATCAGTGAAATTATCCAAGTGGATTTCAGCATAATGTTCATTATTTGCGCTCAGGGTATGAACACTACAAACAGAAATGGGAAGAATATAACTAAAATTGTCATGCCTGAACGCGTTAGCATTCTTTTAATTTACCAGACGGAAACAATTTTGCTGAGGTAATCAGAAAAACCACCGACACGGCTCCGACATAGTTATACATGCATGTTTTCATTTGGCTTAGGTGCTTCTCTCTGCGCTCACGTGTTCGAATGCATGTGCTTGATGTGCTCAGCGCTGAAATAATTAGCAACTCTTGCTAGCAGCATGTGGTTATTTGCTCGAATGATCTTGTGAAAATATTTTCCTAAACCTCGCCATGTGGCAAATCTTTTTTAAGCGGTCCGCCTTCCGAGAGGGTAGACTGGTCGTATTTTGTGTAATCATGGTCAAAATACTTCTGTGTGACACGTTTTCACACCAAAAAAACTGTCCCATTTTATGACAGCACAAAAGGCGTGCCCTAGGTTAGTAGAATTAAGCGTGGTGGCCTTCATGTTACTCAAAATAAACAACTCTTAAAATTTTGAGCAAAATTTCACTAATATATACACGTCTTGCCCATAGAATGTGTTCCTCATAGATATCGTAGCACTTAAAATTTCTCTTTCACATTGCATGTGCCTGTGCCTCATTTAAAAAACCACAAGATGTTTGAAAACTTTCTCGTTATCAGGCTGGGGACTTATAGTGTACGCATGTGCTACAAGTTCATCGAGTTCATACAACTGTCACTTTCGTGAACATGAATAATGTTGTGGGCTAAATACAAATGTTAGCTCAAACAGCGTCCAACGTTCCGAACGATGAACAAGTTTAAAGGAAACTACAATTTTGTTTCCTTCAAATGCTTTTTGGAGTGTTTTAGTACATAGACTTCATCTGCCACATCAAACTAATGCCGCCTAATATTTATCAATTTTTGAAACGTTTCAGGGCAACTTAAGCGTAATCATTATACATCATGTATGAAAAACGACCTGTTGAGGAAGTCTGAGCAAGATATCATTTCAAATTATTTAATATTATTGATGTTATTTTTATTCGTGAATTTCGTGCACATCTTGTCACACGGTTTATGTAGCTGGTGTTGTATATCTGCTGACTTAGATATACTGATCATACTGCGAACAAAATATCTTGCGCCGAACACTGTAACCACCTTTCATTTATATGAGTTATTGATTCGGTTGAGAACAGTTCGGAAATAAATATGTGTAAAACCTTGTTCGTAATGTGGC